TTCGCATAGGAACTCTGGCGGAGACCCAGCGCCTTCAGCCCTCCCCCTCCCTCCGGAAAGCTTCTGCGCTCGGGCCTCAGTCGAAAGTTCAAGCCCTCGAAATCCTAAGTTCAGGGTCAATCCTCAACCCATCCTAAAGTTCTTACACCCTAAACCCTAAACCCTAAGCCCTAAAACGCCAAACCCTGAACCCTGAACCCTGAACCCTAAACCCTAAACCCGAAACCCTAAACCCTAAACCCGAAACCCTAAACCCTAAACCCGAAACCCTAAACTAAATCCTGCAGTTCTTGAACCCCCCCCGCATGCAAGCTCCTGGCCTCCTGAGGCGACGTGCTGCCAGTTGCCCCAGGGCCCCGATTGGGCTGCCTGCCATACTCAGGGCAGGGTTTAGGGTTTAGGGTTTAGGGTTTAGGGTTTAGGGTTTAGGGTTTAGGGTTTAGGGTTTAGGGTTTAGGGTTTAGGGTTTAGGGTTTAGGGTTTAGGGTTTAGGGTTAGGGTTTAGGGTTTAGGCTTTAGGGTTGGGCTGCCTGCCATATTCAGGGGGAGAAGAGATTCGGGCTGGGGATTAGGGTTTAGGGTTTAGGGTTTAGGGTATAGGGTATAGGGTTTAGGGTTTCGGGTTTGCGGTTTGGGGTTTAGGGTTTAGGGTTAGGGTTTGGGGTTTGGGGTTTGGGGTTGGGGTGTGGGGTTTGGGGTTTGGGGCTTGGGGTTTGGGGTTTCGGGGGATTATCAACGTGTTATAGGATTTAGGGTTTGGGCTTTGGGGCCTAGGGTGTGTTTTCTCAAACATTCGGCTGAAGAGTGGCGAGGGCTCGGGGTTTAGCGCCTTGACACTTTGGGCGGCTGACAGTCGTGGGCTTTTGGGTCTAGTTAGGGTGCAGTGTTTGGGGTTTCTCGGCTCTGGGGATTTGGAGGCTCCCTAACTGGCTGAGGGGTCCAGAAGGATGAATTCGGCGCCTGTTTGGGATGTTCCCTGCTCAACAGCAGTGTGGAGCCTTGTGGTTAAGTTACCCAAAAGGACCCCAAGCTTAGGCGACTTTTCACGTAGAGAGGGCGTAAGACTTGCCGAATCCTGGAGTCCCTCCCGCGACCCTGAACTTTACGATGTCCAGTCAGCGTTACACTCTAGGAGGGGCGGGGAGGGGGGCCTAAACACCAAACCCCAAACCCCAAACCCCAAACCCTAAACCGAAAGGTATAAGGATCTCCCCTTTATTGGAGGTCTGGGTCTCGTAGAAGACATCTCTATCGAGCCTGAGACGCAAGGGCAGTCCCCAAAACCCTAAACCCTAAACCCTGAATCAACCCCTATATCCTGAGACCCAGATCCTGAACTCTCAACCCAAGTTTAGGGAATTTAGGGCTTAGGGTCCCAGGGTCCCTACAGTTTAGGGTTTAGGGTTTAGGGTTTAGGGTGTAGGGGACCCGAGAACAAACCCCCAAATAGTAGGATTCCCTTACAATACGGACCCCAAGAAGCTAACCCCTAATGTCAGAAACCCCCATCTAGGGTCTCTCAAAGTGGAGCTTATGGAGGCCCTCATTTGGGATGTTCCCCCTTAGACTAACAGTCCGTAACAGGGATCATGAACCCACCCTAAGCCCTAAACCCTAAGCCCTAAACCCTAAACCCTAAACCCTAAACCCTACATTAAGGACTGTTAGTATAAGGGGGAATATCCCGAAACCTCTCATAGCACCAATTTAGCACCGGTCCTGAACAACAGCGGCTGCGTGTGTAGAGGTCATCCCAGCAAGAGAGGAGGCGATGATGGCAGCAAAGACCCTGGAGGGGCGATTCTTGAGTCCTAAACCCTAAACCCTAAACCCTAAACCCTAAACCCTAAACCCTAAACCCTAAACCCTAAACCCTAGTGTTCGATTTTGCGATTTGGGTCTTGCCTTCCCTTTTTGTGGGACCACATGAACAAAGAATGGCGCTTCTGCCTTGTAAACGAGACAGGGTTTAGGGTTTAGGGCTTGGGGTTTGCGGTTGGGGGTTAGGGGATAAGATATACACACGTGGAAAGAAATTGTACAAAAACACATAAAGAAATATCCATATAGACATATATGTATATACATATATATTATAGAAATATCAAAATGCGCACATACACACCGAATAAATTAACGGCATGCCGCAATATGCACACATCACGCTTGCTTGTTTGGATTGTAGAAATTTACGGCGTTCCACCCCCCCGGCATGGGTCCAACACACCCCGGCGAATGTCAAAAGCGATGATGCCCGGTGAAGACCTAGGATGCTTAGGGTTTTGGGCCGTTTAGGGTTTAGGGCTAGGTTTTAGGATGTTTACGGTGTAGGGAAATCTCCTATGCTCTACCTTCGGGTAGACTATGGAATTGGACGTCATATGCTTGGGAAATCCTAAGCCCTTGCCTCCTAAACCAGCTTAAACCCTCAACCCTCAGTGCTTAAACCCTGAAACCTACGCTCCTCAACTCCGAAACCCCAAACCCCAAGCCCGAACTCTTCAGCGCAATGCCTCCAGAAGCGCTCCCGAAGGTGATCTGCCCCAGCATTGCTGCATGGACCCCCGCGCACGCGCGCGAGCACGCGCGCGCGAGCGTGGACAAGGGTTGGGACTTTGGCTTGGCCCGAGATGCTGTATGGGGTTTAGGGTTTAGGGGTGTAGGGGTTTAGGGCTTCAGGGGTTTGGTGCTGTGTGGATTTCCATTACGGGTCTGGGGGTTTGGGGGTTGGGGGGGGGGGGGGTTCACGGGATAAGGCTCACTAAGAGTCGAGGTTGCTCAGGCATGTGTCTTGCTGGTGATGTATCAGGGTGCTCGAGCGCGCTCTGCGTCCCCGGAATCTTTTTTGTGTTTTTTTTTCTCTCTCTCTCTCTCATGTGGCAAAACGTTGGAGACCTTTGGGAGTCACGGTTTGTGGTTTAGGGTAAATGAACCCTCAGCTCGAATAATCTCTGATTACGAAAAGGTGCCGACTGGATGCAGGCTCTGGACTGTTGAATGGTTTCATGTATATTTTTTGTGGGCTCAACATCTTAGCTGAGCAGCTGCGGGCAACGACAACAGGCCATGTAGCCCAAGAAACCCCTGTCAAATGTCAGACGGGTATCCACATATAGGGGGACTTGTTCAACAGCATGGGTTGGGATGTTCCCCCGTATACTAACAGTCCAACAGTCCTCAATAGGGATTGTAGTACCCCAACCCCCCCATTGCAATCCTACTATCGGACTGTTAGTACGAGCAGGAACATCCCAAAGCATGGGGTATTTTGGGTGGTTTACGGTTACAGTATTCGCTATTCGTTTACATATCGGGTGGGGGAGGGGGTTCTGAGACAAGCCAGGGGCACTGCCCCTACACCCTAAACGATAAACCCTACACCCTAAACCCGAAACCCATGTTCAACTTTCAACCACCATGCCATTCCCTGATCCCTTGATCCTTCTGACCGAAGCGCCTCAATCGGCTGGGTTCTAGTTCAGGAACTCCAAAAACGAGTTCCCAGAACATCCTAGAACAGAGTTCTGCAGCATGTAAGACTATACCCCAATTTCACTTCGTTCCTTAACAGGGGCCCGGAAGGAACAACAAAACTCAATCTGTCAAGATCGCGGGACTCAGCGCTGCAAATCCACAAGCCCTACATCCCACGCCCTCGAGGCCCTACCCTAAACCCCAACCCCTAGACCCCTAACCCCTAAACCCTAAACCCTAAACCCTAAACCCTAAACCCTAAACCCATGAACCCCTAAAACCCTGAACCCTAAGACCGACGTCTTTTGTAGGTTGTGAGCATGGCCTAAACCCCAACTTCTGTAGCTTGTGAGCATGAAGCCCCTTATCGAATTCTGAGGCAACCTGCAATAAACTAAAGTCGGCTCTGGGCTCCTAAGGCAAAGCCCTAGAAGCCCTGTACACCCATGCGACCAGAACCCGAAGCACCTCCAACCGACAGAGGAACTCTTCCCCACCGTAAACCCTTCAACCCCTAAACCCCTGAACCCCTAACCCCTAAACTCCCAAACCCCTAAACCTCTAAACCCCTAAACCCCTCAACCCTAAACCTCTCAACCCTTAAACCCTAAACCCCCCAAACCCCTAAACCCTTAAACCCCCTAAACCCCCTAAACCCCCTAAACCCCCTAAACCCTTAAACCCCCTAAACCCCCTCAACCCCTCAACCCCTCAACCCCTCAACCCCTAAACCCCCTAACCCCCCAAACCCTTCTGCCTGGAGCTGGTGCTGCGGGAGCCGGTGGGATGAGGGCGGGAGGTGGTGCCTGCGCCCGAAGTTTCCCGAAGTAGTGCTTGCAGCCGGTTAGGGTTTAGGGTTTAGGGTTTAGGGTTTAGGGTTGAGGGTTTAGGGTTGAGGGTTAAGGGTTAAGGGTTTAGGGTTGAGGGTTTAGGGTTTTGGGTTTAGGGTTGAAGGTAGAGGGTTGAGGGCTTAGGATTTAGGGCTTAAGGATACTCAGGGTGAGGTGAGTAGCCGAGCAATAGAAAAGGTATCACTTCGAGCTTTTTGAAGGGGTTCAGAGCAGGGAGCGCGATGCCAGATCGGAAAGACCAAGCTCTAGACCGGAAAAGGCTAAACCCTAAATCCTAAACCCGAAACCCTAAAGCCTAAAGCCTAAACCCTAAACCCTATAATTAAACCCCAAACCCTCAGCCCATCTTTTCGGATCTTGCTGGCGTGTCGGATGGCTCGACTGATAGGATTGCGATCGTTGCAACGGCTTTCAACGTGCGTGAAGACTCCGATGCAGGGATCGTGATAGTACTCAAGCCATTCCCTACAATGACAGGGCTATACAGAGGGGGAATGGGAGAGCACTCCGCGTGTCTCGTTCCGGCACGCTCCCTAGAGCTGCAAGATCGTAGGCACGAGGAAATTTAAGCCGAAAAACAGGCCTCGAGGCCTGCGACTTGCTTGCAAACGCATGCAGCACTGGCTCTGTCAACGCAGCGCCCTTAATTACAGCGCTTGTTCGGCGCAAGGGGGCCTAGGCGATGGCTCCGACGTACTTCTGCAAAGCCCCATGCCACTCATCACCTCTCCTGACACAAAGGATGTTCGCCCATGGGATCGGGCTGTGGGTGCTCTCATCCTGCATGGTCCAGCAGCCCGTAATCTTCTGGAGCTTCCCGTTGTTCCCAGCCCAGAAACAGTCCAGGTCAAAGTCGTCCAAGGTTTCGGCGACTGAGAGGAGGGACGTTCGGCTCCAGGGTGAACCGGTCAGGTCCTGATGCACCTCGAAGAACAGCAGGCGCACGGTCTTCAACGCCTTGGAGGCGCCGACCAGCACAAGGGGATCGTGGCCCTCGGTGTCCACAGACAGCACATCCACGCGCGAGAGGCCGCGAGAAGCCATCAGCGTGTCGACCTGCCGCAGCAAAGCAGGCAAACCCTAGAGAATAGAGAGGGCCCTACTGGCTGGGGCACAGGAATCAAGGCATATGCGCATACACACACTGCTGAGGATGCTCTTACGACATGAAACTTTCTGAATCATGCTCATACGATATGAAACTTTCTGAATCATGCCGATCTGCAGACGTCACATTGATCTCCACGGTCTCGATTTCGCGAGCATTCCCGGCCGGATCCACCGGGGAGGCAACATCCAGCCCGAAGTCCTCGGTGCCCACTTGACCGGATGGGAAGTCAGCCACGCCAACATGGTCCGACACAGCAGCATGGATGATTTCGAACGCGCTGCTGCTGTTCAGGACTCTGCGGTGCAAGGCGCGCATGACCTCTACGTTGGCCGACATGGGCTCGACGCAAATGACAGTCGGATTCATGGAAGAGCTGGCAGCGCGTTGTGGCCACGTGCTCTGGTTATTCTGGCAGCTTCCTGCCCGGATGGCTCCCTCCCCCTTGAGACCTTCATGCCACGCCTGAAAGATGCCGGGGCTGCGACCCCAAAGGTCTAGGTACTTCACTGCGTCCGCGCCGGTGTTGCAGCCCACATCCAGAAAGACGGTGTTTGCATCCACGGGGCGGGTGTCATGTGCCAGAAGGTGCGCTACCCAGTCATCCTCCTGCGGGCAGTTCGTGGTCATTTCAAGGCTGCGAAAAGGCAGGCACTGCAATGCATCCCCACGTCCCAGGGCAGACACTTCGGACAAAGAAGGCCACGCACTCAAGGAGGACATGCCAATTGCCAGCAAAACCCCCACAGTGGCCAGGGCTTCCCGGAAGTTGCCTCTGAAGAACAGCTGCGTGGAACTCTGCTTCCCCACCAAGCTGAGCATGCTTTGCATCGCGAGGGCCCCGGACATGGCTGTGTGCTGTGTGCTGTGGAGCTTGGGATTGCTTGAGGTGCGCAAATGCTCTGAAATTCGCAGCCAAACCTTCCGAGACCTGCCTCTTTTTTGCAATCGTGGTCAACCTGTACACCTATAATAAGCCCCGGAAACTCCATAATAAACCCTAGCATACTACAACCAACCCTGGAAACCAAGCAATAAACCTCGAAACCCCAAAGCCCCAAACCCTAAACCCTAAACCCTAAACCCTAAACCCTGAATTATAAACCCTAAACCCTAAACCCTAAACCCTAAACCCTAAACCCTAAACCCTAAACCCTAAACCCTAAACCCTAAACCCTAAACCCTAAACCCTGCGCTTGCTTTCTCATTGCTTGGCCTCCACAGTCGCCATCGCCTTCAGGGCACAGGAGGTAGCGGGTGTAGGATTTAGGGTTTAGGGTTTAGGGTTTAGGGTTTAGTATTTATAGGGTTTAGGGTTTAAAAGGTTTATCTAAGGAAGAAGAGCACATTTGGGCTCATGCAGATTCGTTTGCAAGCATCTGGTGTTTCAATTTCTTGCTCTTCCGTACATGCGCCGGAACCCTCAACGGTCGACTTCCACCTCTACATCGTGAGGCCCTAAACCCTAAACCCTAAACCCTAAACCCAACTTGGCGCGCCTTTGCAGAAACCGCTGCCACATCCCCGCCACCTCGAGTCGGCGGGCAAAGAGACCCTAACAGGCGCCTTATGGTCAAAATACCAAGGGTTTAGGGTTTAGGGTTTAGGGTTTAGGGTTTAGGGTTTAGGGTTTAGGGGTTTTGCAGGGTTTATAGGGTTCAGGGTTTGGGTTTGGGGTTTGGGTTGATTTTAGGATCTCGGGTTTCTAAACCGGACAAACCAAGAAAGCCCCAAGCATCAGCTGCCAGACCAGAGGCCCCAAAACTGTGTACACCTTTGAGGGACACTCTTGGGCTTAACCTTGCACACCTCAGGGTGCATCGTGATCCCTCGAAACCTTAAACCCCCATGTATAGTGGCGAAGAATGTATGTAGCAAATAACCTGATGGCCTCAACTGACGTAGCAAGCTGCTACTCTGAGGGTGGCCGCATTTCAACACATTGCATTCTGTTCATGATGCTTTGTTAGCAGAGGTGGTTGCGATTACCTTGCGATGTCTTCGCATTCCTCCGCAGATGCAGGGGCTAGTTTGTGTCAATTTTGCAAATGAGCAAGGCGGACAAAAAGGGCGAACCATTCTTGATGTTTGATGGAAATGGCACCCGAACTACTATGCTGCTACTCTCAGGGCCGACTTATACAGTTGCTAGTCTTCCTCCCGACTACAACACTTATCTGAGGGGCGATTCATAAAATCAGAGACGCTACATTTTGTTCTGTAATAGCAGTGGCTGCTTACTCAGCGCAATGAGCCTTTGAGCAGATTAGCATTCCTCTTCGAACGTAATTAATCAAGCGAGTCTATGTAAATACTCGCCTGGATGTATGTGAACAAAAAACCAAACATAAATCCGAATGCGTTGCCCTGGCCTTGACATAATAAACAACCAGGCGAAGGAACCCTGAACCTTAAACCCTAAACCCTAAACCCTGACTGGTGAGATTCCAAACCGGTCCCCCAAGGTTCGCGGCGGGGAGGCCGCGAGGGGCGTCCACAGATCCTCCCCCAGGTCGAGGCAAGGGTCTTCGGGTTTAGGGATAGGTCTCTTAATGAAGGTTTGGGGTCTAGGCTTGGAGGGTTTGGGGTTTAGGGTTTAGGGTTTAGGGTTCAAGGCAAAGGTTGGGGTGTTCATGGGATGCCGGATGCATCTGAGAGCAGTTTCGGGCGCAACCGTCCCTGCTGCGGATGTGTAAATGCAGTTTAAACCCTACGAAGCTCATGTCTCTACGCCCCGAAATCCGATCTTCTTCGGCTGCAAACGGGAAGGAGCTGTACGGGAAGGAGCTATATCAGAAACCTCAAACCCCGCAAGCCCATACCCCTAAACCCTCGAAGGGATTACAAGCACAGCTTGGGAAGGGGGGGGGGGGTATGAACAACAAAGGCGCCGTGATACTTATATCTAAGCCCAACAGCTCTCACCGGCACAACACTTTAGGACCTAGGGCTTCGGGCTTGTAGAATTCAGAGGGCTGCTGGTCTTGTTGGGGGGGGTTGCTCGGCCTGGGCTTGCGAGAAGGGGCTTTTTTGGGGGGACTCTTCAGGGTTGAGCCCTGAACTCTTCTTCCCCCCCGTAAACCGTAAACCCTAAACCCTAAACCCTAAACCCTAAACCCTAAACCCTGGCCAAGATGCCTCAGGAGGCCACACTCGTCGTCATCGCGGCCGCACAGGAAGCCCGCGAACGGCATCCTCAGATGTGGGTTTAGGTTTGGGGTTCGGGGTTCGGGGTTTGGGGTTCGGGGTTTGGGGTTTGGGGTTTAAGGTTTAGGGTTTGGGGTTTAGGGTTGGCTATGTAGATCGGAATGTGGAGTGGACGAGAGAGACAGCTGGAGGTCATGAGTCAAATAGGGGATCCGAAGAATGGCCCTGTACTTGGGTCCCCTGTTATATAACCCTGTACATAGTAAGGGACCATGCAAAGTGCCCATGGTTCCAACCTTAGATCAAAACTACGAACATATACGTCTGGGGTTTAGGGCTGAGGGCTTCGCAAAACGAGGGGCTAGATTTCCACGCAAGCCGAAACCCTAAACCTTAAACCCTAAACCCTAAACCCTAAACCCTAAACTAAACCCTGAACGCTATCGAGCTGGTGACGCTGCTCAAGTAAAGGGTGAGGCCGAAAGTCTCAAGCAGAAAACGAGGCGTCAAGGTGTGAACTTCATGTCGCATCAAGGGTTTAGGGTTTAGGGTTTAGGGTTTAGGGTTTAGGGTTTAGGGTTAGGGTTTAGGCTGAAGGAGACCTATTTGCTCAATCTCCCCCAAAAGATAAAAGCATAATCATCCCCATATTCCCGTTATAAGGAATATATATATATATATATATGAGCCCGCCGCCTTTAGGGTCTATTTGGCTTTGGGTTTTTCTTATTGCTTAAAAAGAGCGAATATAAATATCGTAATACAAAAATACATATTTACACCTACATATGGCACGCAAATCTCATGCCCAGCGGTTCTAGGCCTAGCCGCACGCCATTACGAACTGCGAATTTCTGGTTGTTCTTATTTTCATTTGTTTCTCTTTGCTATCTGTGTATGCGTGTTCTTTTTTCAGCCTGCGTGAAAAAGTCGCTGTTTGGCTGCGGCAGAAGGGAAAGAGAAGTGAGAGAGGAGAGACAACAAGGAGGCCATTTTAATTTTCTGGAAGGGTATTGATTGAAAAGAAGAGAAGAGACAAGAAACAAGGAGACGGATGGCACTCTTCTTTATCTATCATCTCTCCCTTCCTTGCCTCTCCCGTTTCCCTCTATAATTCAAAAGACAAGACCATTCTTGCTCTTCGCAGATCAGAGGAGAGATCAAAAGGAATGCAATTTTAATGGGAAGAGCAATGAAAAGAATGGAAGAGAAATGAAGACAGGAGAGGGAGGTGCAAAATCAGGCTAAGAGAAGATGGTGCTCGTTTTCATCTTTCTTCTCTTGCTCTTTTCCTTTTCAAATAAACAACAAAAGGAAGAACAATGAACATGCAAAGGAACCCGTTTTCTTTTTCCATGTGGGAACAAGGAAAGAACAGAGGCGATAAGGCGAGAGGAGGGATTTGCTGAAGCATGGGGAGGGTCTACGGACAAGGAGCCAACCCCGCTCACTTTCCCCATCCATTGAAACAGGAAAAGAAAGGAACAGGGCCTCCATTCCCCTCTTGTTCTTCCTTTCTTGTGTTTTTGTCACATCAAGGGGAACAGGAGAAGAGAAGGGAGAGAGAAGGAGAGAGGAGAGACAAAAAGGATTGCGTACTGGGAAGAGCAAAGAAAAGAATAGAAGAGAGATGAATAAAGGAGAGGGAGAGACAAAATAAGGCGCAGAGAAGATGGCACTCTTCTTTATCTATCCTCTCCCCCTTATCTCTCCCTGCCCTCTTTCTTTTCGAAATAAGACAACAAAAAGGAAGAACTATGAGAAGGAGAAGGGGACGGAAAGGAACAGAAGGGATAGGCCGATAGGAGGGGGTATGGCAAGGTCCACGCGCAAGGAGTCACCCTCTGCTTACCCTTCCACTGCCTTATCATACAAGTTCCTTTCTTGCGCTGTGTCAGTTGAAAGGAAACAGAAGGAGAGAAGGGAAAGGGAAGTGAGAGAGGAGAGATGACAAGGATGGCATTTTTCTGGAAGCGCAACTGTACCGGAATGTGGCCACAATAAGCAGGCCAGGGAGACTCAGGCGGGGCAACTGTAGCGGAATGTGGCCACAACAAGCAGGCCAGGGAGGCTCAGGCGGGGCAAGTCTCTCCCTAATTAGAAAAAAACCAATCTTGCTCTTCGCAAATAGATAAGTGCCCTTCTTCCTCTTCAGGAAATCGCCTTTCCCTTATTTTGCTTTCTGAAGCGAATAAGAAAAAGAACAGATAAGAAGAAAGGACAGGGAATGACTAGGTAAAGAGAGGAGCTCTTCAATTTTGCATTACTTTTCCTTCTTGGGGGGTCCTTTTTTCTCCCTTGAAGATGCAGAAAACTCTCAAAAGGAACACCCGTTCCATCGCCCATTTACTCTTCCCTTCCTTATCTCCTATGCTCTTTTCCTTAGTCATTGCAACAGGAGAAGACAGGAAAAGGGCCTCCATTCCCCTCTTGTTCTTCCTTTCTTGTGTTTTTGTCATATAAAGGGGAACAGGAGAAGAGAAGGGAAAGAGAAGGAGAGAGGAGCGATGAAAGGAACACAATTTTAATGGGAAGAGCCAAGAAAAGAATGGAAGAGAGATGAATAAAGGAGAAGGAGAGACAAAACAAGTTGCAAAGAAGATGGCGCTCTTCTTAATCCATCCCCTCTCCCTTTTCTCTCCCTTCCCTTTTTCTTTTCGAAATAAGAAAAACTAAGCAGGAAGAATTATGAAAAGGAGAAG